GGGGGGGGGGGTTGCAGCTATGATCTCTTGTAAGCTTCCTCCACATGCCATTCCAAGCAGCTTTTAATGTTGTATTAAATAATATTTGAATTGATGAATGCATTAGGGGATGTCCAGAGCATTACACCCCTTACCACTACAATAAGTTTGTTAAAGTTGCTCTGGCCCATTGCATGTTAACAATGCACCTGGCTTGGGTGCGTTACTCATTCTAGTAGTTGTTTCTACATTCTTCTTTAAATAAATATTTTTTTAAAAATCAGACCAAAAAAGGTAGAGCACAGAATGTGAAAAGTTCCACTCAAGTTATCTGTAAAAAGTGAACTTTAAAAGTAACTCTAAAAGTAAATTTAAAGTAACTAGAAAATATTATTACAGTCAAAAAAGAGTTCCCAACATTCCCTGTCATTACATTACCTTTGAAATGTAATCTTGTCACATGCTCTTTACCAAAACAGCATAATTTTAAATTATTCCTACTCCCCATCATCTTGCAATTATAGAGGACAACATCAATTTGGAACAGGAAGGAAGCTTGGAAAAGCTACATTTTTTTTTGGACTACAACAATGACTGCAGGCTGTGGGGCTAGCTAGCAGATTAAAGTAAAGTAAAATTTTCAAACTCAGGAGGCAAACAGTTAATTTGGCCCACACAATCCTCCTCCCTTACAGAAATGACTGGAATGGCATAAGAAACAGTTTCTATTCCTGTCTGGCAAATGAATGAAAGCACTGTGAGCTGCCTCTGCATATTAGGCTTTTCTTTTCTTTTTTTTAAATTAAATTTTATTATTCATTAAAAACGACATATTTAAAATATCTTATTCATACAATCATAATCATATACACTCACACCCTTATCCACAAACATTGTTTCTCAATCATTTTTTCTTTTTGTATATTAGCAAAGATAGCACTCATCTATTCTTCTCTTCCATAATCCTTTCACATATACCATCCCTTCTCCCTTCCCCATCTCTAGTAGTTACAACTATTTTACTACCCTTTCTTGCCTTCTTTCTTCTCCTTTCTTCTTTTCTTATCTTCTTCCTTCCTATTCTTCTAACATTCTTGTATTCTTGCTTTTCTTACTCTCTTATCTTTTCCTAACATCTATTCCCCTTCGCTTACCATCAACTCTTACCTTCCAACATTTTCTTTCTTCCTTCACAATCATTCCTTACTTCCTTTCCAACATCTGCCAATTTATCATTGTCTCTACCATTGGCTTTCTAATGTTGGTATGTTGTTGTTCACCACATCTATTTAAGTTGTTGTGATCTTAATTCCCATTCTTATTAGGCTCGTTTGCATAGCTTATTATCTTGCTTAGTTTCATATATATATATATATATATATATATATATATATATATATATACATACACATATAGTGTTAATTTTCTTAAAATTATAACTCGTTCTTTCTTTCTTCATTTGAATTATTATACTACTTTTGAATGCCTAGTTACTTAAGTACATTTTACTTAGACATTGTTCTGTACTAATTTTCATCTTTTATATTTCTATATGATCAAGCTGTGATTTGTGTTACTATTTTCAATATGTTTATCTCTCACTGCTCAGTTCCTCCAAAAACCAAAGAAAAATCTTCTAGTTGTTCTCTAGTTTTTTTCCTCTTTTCCCCCCCTTATGTTTAATTAACCTAGTAATTCCCCTTTTTCTCTAGTTTTTTTATTTGTTTATATTTTCCATATTTTATTCATATAGTTATGTACTAATTGCCACTCGTCTTTCACGTCATCTACCTGTTTACTCTGTATTGATTTTGTCAGTTTGCCCGTCTCCATTGCATCATATAATTTTAACAACCATTCCTCTTTTTCAGGGATATATTCAGTTTTCCATTTTTGTGCCAAAGCTAATCGGACCATGGTGATCATGTAAAAAAGTATTTTTCAAAATTTGATTTCCAATTCTTTATCTATCATATTTAACAAATAAAATTCTGGTTTCATTTGCATATTGATTTTTATTATATGATTTATTGCGTTGTTTACCGTTATCCAATATTTCTTAACTTTTTTACAGGACCACCAAGAGTGATAGAAAGTTACTATTTCTTCCTTGCATTTCCAGCATAGATTATTATTGTTTTTATATATTTTAGACATTTTTGCTGGCATTAGATACCATCAAAAAACATTTTGTAATAATTTTCCCTTAAATTTTGTGATAT